GAGTTAGAACTTTTAGTTCCACCTCCTGACCTCTGGGCAGGGGAGGAGACTGGCGGTTCAATCAGTCAACAATGGTGAATGATTTAATCTGCTATGCCTGTGTGAAAAACCAAAACAGTGGGTTCCAAGAGCTTCCAGGTCAGTGAACACATGAAGGTTCTGGGAGAGTGGTACGCCTGGAGAGGGCATGGAAACTCTGTGCCCTAGTATGTCATCCTGTGTATCTCTCCCATATGGCGGTTCCTCGGTTATATCCTTTTTAATAAACCAGTGATCTAGTAAGTAAAATGTTTCTCTGGGTTCTGTGAGCCACTCTAGCAAATTAATCAAATCCAAGGTGGGGGTTGTGGGAACCTCTGATTTATAGCAAATTGGTCAGGTATACAGGTAACAACCTGGGCTCACTATAGACGTCTGAAGTGTATATGTGTGTGTGCAGGGAGGCAATCTTGTGAGATCATACCCTGAACCTATGGAGGCTGATGCCATCTCCAAATGCATAGTGTCAGACCTGGGTTGAATTCTCAGGTGCCTGCTGCTCTCCAGAAATTGCTTGGTGGTATGTGGCAAGTACTACCTCCCACCCCCCGCAACATTGAAATTGTGTCCAGGACCCAGAAAGTCTGTGTATATGCTTTTACTCTGTAATAATTACAGACAGGATTTGCTACCTGAGCACCAGCAGCGCCTGTTCCAGAGCTCAGGTGGGAGACTTAATACTTGTGCAGACTCCCCAGGAAGAACTGGCTCAGGGGATGGACTGGCTGCTGCCCTCCCACCACAGGTGCCAGCACTGTTCCCTGGTGGGGCCAGTCCTCTGCTGCTTCTGCTACTACCTTTGCCACCACCAATCTCTAATCACCTTGGAGCCCTGAGGCATGCAGGTGCTCACCAGATCCCCAGGACACCTGGTCTCTTGGCTTGACTTTTGTGCCGCAGACCATGTTCATGGGCCCGAGTTTACTGTTGCCTACAGCCCGTATCTGCTCTGCTCACGTGCATGCTCCATTACCCCATCACGCCTCATTGACAAAGTACAAGTGCAGGGGCACCTGCGTGGCTCAGTCAGTTAAGCCTCCAACCCTTGATTTTGGCTCAGGTCATGATCTAGCGGTTCGTGAGATTGAGGCCCACGTAGGCTCTGTGATTGTCTCTCTCTATATATATACCCCTCCCTCTCTCTCTCCCCAAATAAATAAGTAAACATTCAAAGCACAAGCGTAAAGATTAAATTATTAATAATTTCAAGACATTGTCTTTCTGATAGCAGAACCCAGGTCACACACGCATGAAGCCCAGTTTGCCTACCTCTTAGGCTTTAAAGATGAATTATATCTGTCATCTTTGGAAATATGTACCAATAAACTCACAGTGTTGACTTTGTCTTGGGCCTGGTAACCAAATAACCAAGGTTGCTCAAAGAATTGCATCAAGGCTCCATTTTTCACCTTCTTTGTCTTACTCTCTTCCCCCTCTGAGGTCTCAGTTTTGCAGATTTTGGTCTAGGTTATTGACTAGCTCACAGAGAACTGACTAATGCCGGGTTTTGGTTTAGCACAACTGCTGGGATCTCAGAGCTCAGAGGGTCAAAGAGTAGCTCAGCAAGAGAATAATTATGGGGTCCTGAGTCCTAAGTGCCCTGGAGTGGAGGTGGAGGGAATGGGGGCACAGGCAGAGGACAGCGTGCCTGAAGTACTAGATTATAAATGGTAGGACACGAGTGTTCCTGTTTTATAGAATGTGGTGGAATAGATGATTGAATTTTTCATCCATAATTATAATTTTCAAATTGTTGAGAAACACTAGACAATTATTTCTAGTGCCATGTGAGTCATTGAAAACATAATAAATCTAGTCGTGGTTTTGTGTCAGAAGAGTTCTATTATTTTAGTGGTTGCTCACTTACAGTATCATATCTATATATCATGTATCTCAATGCTGTAAAAAATTTAAAAGCTTAAAAAAATGTTCATTATTCTGAGAGAGAGAGAGGGAGGGAATGAGTGGGGGAGAGGCAGAGAGAGAGGGAGACACAGAATCTGAAGCAGGCTCCAGGCTGTGAGCTGTCAGCACAGATCCTGACGCAGGGCTTGAACTCATGAACCGTGAGATCATGGCCTGAGCCGAAGTCAGATGCTTAACTGACCGAGCCACCCAGGCGCCCCAATACTATAAAAACTTTTAATTTCTTTAGAAATAAACTTTTATCTTCTAAGATTCCCTCCCCCCGCCAGTAAACTTATTTAAATGTTAAATTGTGTTACAGAAACCTGTGTTATCTGTTCTACAGACCATTTATGAGTGAAAGGGTGTTACAAGTGATAAAAAAATGCCTAAAGAAGACAAATTATGTGATACAGACAAACTTTATTTAACACTTCATGAAGTGGACAGTCTCCATTTGGAGAATTGCCAAATGGGGTAGAAGGCAAGAAGCTTTTATAGAATAAAGAATAGAGAACTAGAGAGAGACAAATAAAAATATCTGATTGGTTGGAGCCAATAGTCATCTTTGTTGGGGGTGAGAAGGCCCCAGAGTGGCTTTGGTTTGGGGACTGGCTGACTGGATATACTGTGTTTCTTTCTGGTCAAGAGGAGCATTTACAGAGACATGAAAATTATTTAAGTTTTCTTTTACTGACTAGGCACCCTGGGCAGGAGTAGATCCATGTTGGACCTAGAAATTTATTTTAGTACAAGTTTTCTTGGTCTGTGTTTCAAAGGCATTAACTCTTTTTGTTCCTATAACTTCTCACATCTTCAAGTGAAAAACTATAGGAAATCACTTGATTTCCTGTCTCCAGGAGGCCAATAGAAAATGGCTGCAATACTGGAGATGGTGCAATTCTACATTTGCCAGTTTCTAGGTTTCCTCAGATGTGAAGAAAAAGGAACTGGCTCAGTCCTTTTCTGGCCCAACTCTTACCTACAGCTTCCCCCTTGCCAGTCTCCACTCACCCATCAATACTTTGTTCTGGCAATGGGGTAAAAGTAGGAGTTAAAGATAAGACGGTGTTATACCAGCTCAGAAACTAGGAGCACAGTTAACCCTAATGCACTAGCACTGTGATTTATTCAGTCTGTTTCAGAAATCCATACCTGTGCCCAGGTGGGTGGAGAATGGTGAGAACAGAGGAAGCCCTGGCCAGAACCATTAGGCTGACACAGGGAGGGGCAACTCACCGGTGCAAGGAATGCTCAGCAGACGTGTACCAAGGTAACCATTCCTGTTGATTCCCTCACCTGCTAGTTTCTGTACCTGCCTTTATAATCCTCATGTGCTGCTTCCTGTCTGGTTGACATCTCTGGACATGATTTCTTGACCACCTAGACCTAGGGTATTCATCATCTCTCCCATTTTGCTGGAAAAGTAGCTCTAGCCCCTTCTGGCCAGCCCTCTTTCACTGCCCTAACATCCAAGGGTGACATTGATTGAATTGTGTAAGAGTATCCATCACGTCTATGGCTTGGATAGATTATAATGAGTTTTAAGTCTCTGTTTCATACCACACATATTGTTAGGAATTTGAAAAGTGCTTAATTATCCATTAGTGAGTGGGCTTTGAAGGAAGGTAGAAAAGTATTATCAAATAAATGACAATATTAGAATTGAAGCTTATTCAGAAAAATTATTTTTGGTATTTTTTGAGCATATAAATGTCAATGAAACTAATGAGAAATAGCAAGAACTGCTGAAATAGCATAAATTCACATTTTTAGCTACTGCAGATAAAACGAAAATGTTCTCTACGTGATTGGTCTATGTGAGAAAGTGTTTCACAGGACTATCAAAATTATATCTTAGGATGTCATTTTGGATACCAAAATCCAAAGTTGTGGATTTTAAGTTGTGATTTAAATAATCTTGGGGCTTTGTTTGGACATGGCCTACAAACCTTTGGCGAACTAATTTCTGTATGACTCAAAGGATTTTTCCTAGCAGTGGAAACATCTATTTTAGCTTTTTAAAATAAACTCTTGTCACTCTGGATGTATTTGTAGCCCTAGCCAGTGAGTGAGCATGAGATTATTTCTGAAATTTTTATAGAACAGGGCGATTAAAGAAAAATCAAGATACTGGGTGTAATAACACAAGTCAACATAGTATGTAATTCAAGTCATGCTTGGAGATTTTGAATTTAACCAAAAAATAATTGGATCCATCACAGGTGCCAATGGTCAGAACGAGACCAAGTGGAGAATTAAGGAATGTACTTAAAAATCTTGGACTATATAAATAATACATGTGAAGCGCCATATCCAAATCATGTATCATACCTAACATGGCATAAGCAAATGTATCCTAGTGTAGTTACACAGGACTTTGCATTGTAACTTCAGAGAGTTGGTCAGGAAAGAGTAGTACCCAAGGACTCTGCAAATCAACATTGGAAACAGATGGTAGGAGCAGTTTGAACTTGAGCCAAGCTCTTTGGGTTACAAAGCACTTTTCAAATTCATTTTGCTATCCATAGAGAGAGATAAATCACACCTATTAACTTACCTAATTGTCCTTGGCTTGCAATGTGAGGTTCAGTCTTGTACTCCTTTAACTTTCATTTCATAACCATTTGAGACACAAGACAGTATTTCACAAGATGCCTTGCAGTGGGCTAGTGACTTCTGTTCAATATCCTTAAGTTATTACTTAGAAAATACCAGAATTCCCTTAATACCATTTATGTCAATTTGCTCAGCACATTGTTCTTTGTAGAACTGATGGCTTCCACTCCCCCTCCCCTACTTTTTTGAAGCCACCGTTAATATACCGGGGAAACAGACTCCGTTTGAACAGTTATCAAAGGACAATTATGAAATGTAAATATGAAAGGCTGTAATATGATGCCACAAATTTAAAAAAAAATTGTCCTCCCAAAACACTTAGAGCTTGGGTGCGACATGCCTGTTTCAGGAAATATTTTATAGGAGTATTTTGTAAGAAATATTCTTGGAAAATCTAAACTACCTTTTCCTTTCCTCTTCTGCTTTTCCAAAGAGAACATTTTCCTCATATTATTTGCTGAGCAATTCTCGATTACAAAAAAATGGGTCACTTGTGGAAGAAAGAAGTCCTTTTCTAGTTGGACAACTTGTTTAGAAATTGAAGTAAGAATATCTTACTCTTAATTGAGAGCAAGAATAGCACAAGTGTGCGGCACCTGGTGGCTCAGTTGGTTCAGCGTCTGACTTGGGCTGGGGCCATGATCTCGTGGTCCATGACTTCAAGACCCGCATTAGGCTCTGTGCTGACAGCTCCCAGCCTGGAGCCTGCTTCGGATTCTGTGTCTCCCCTTCTCTCGTCCTTCCCATGCTCATGCTCTGTCTTTCTCTCTCTCTCAATAATAAATAAACGTTAAAAAAAAAAAAAGAAAAAAAAAGAATAGTACAAGTGTGTCCAGTACAGAGTAGGGTCATGTTTGCCAAGACAGGAGATAGGTTATCTAATGAGAGATAAGGACTACCCAGGTTAATGTGCTGGCCAAAGGCTTAGAACGAAAAGATTGGGCCAAGACAGGACCTGGCACACTAAGTTTGAGAACATAGGCATGGGGGCTTTATAAATTTTTTTTAAGTTTTATTTATTTATTTTGAGAGAGAGAGAGAGAGAGAGAGCACAAGTGGGGGAGGGACAGAGGAAGAGGGAAAGAGAATCCTGAGCAGACTCTGTACCATCGGCACAGAGCCTGATGCGAGGCCCGAACTCATGAACTGTGAGATCATGACCTGTGCCAAGATCAAGAGTTGGAAGCTTAACCAACTGCACCACCCAGGCACCCCTAGTCCAGGGGCTTTCAATGGAATATTGGGTACTGCCAAGGGGCACTGTTGCTCTAATATGGCCCTGATGCTCCTCAAGTAATGACATCCTGCCTGGACTAGTTCTTGGCCTTCCTGGTATTCGGAAGACCGGTATCTAAACGTCCATCTTTCTTGTTTCATTGCATGTTCCATTGTTGCAGACATTCAACAATGGTGGTTTGGGGCATATGTCCTGAGAGTTGGAGGAATGGAACTCATATTTGTTGACTGACCTACTCTGGAGTGCTGCACACTGCAGCAGACAGTTGATATTACCTAAGTCGTTAATTTTTTGATTGTACAAATACTGCCGTTTCTTCAATATGTGAATACTGACTCAGACAATGTGTAACATTTCTTCAGTGTTTCAGATTAGAAATCTGAAAATTACTTAATTAGCTCAGCAAATATTTTTTTGGCTATTTACTGTGTTGGGCATTGAGTATAAAAAAGTGAACTGAAAGAGATGGTCACTTTCTTCATGACACTTACAATCCAGGGAGACAGATTAACTTTAAATAAATAAACCCCTACAGATATATATAATTACAAATTAAATAGTAATTTATAGTAAATACTATTACAGAAAAAGTTTAGGGGAGTATGAAAGGCAATAATAGTGAGAGGGACATAATTTATTGTTTATTTTTTAATTATTCACTTATTTATTAATTAATTTAGATTGAGGAGTGAAGGAAAGCCTCTCATGAAGGTGACTTTATTTATTTATTTATTTATTTATTTAAAATGTTTATTTATTTTTGAGACAACGCGAGAGACAGAGTGCAAGCAGCGGAGGGGCAGACAGAGGGAGACACAGAATCCGAAGGGGGCTCCACGCCCTGAGCTGTCAGCCCAGAGCATGACGCGGGGCTCGAACTCATGAACTGTGAGATCATGACCTGAGCCTAGGTTGGATGCTTAACGGACTGAGCCACCCAGGCGCCCCAAAAGTGACATGATTTAGATTCTAAATTTCTGTGTTAGATTTATAACTAATCTCTTGCTTCCATTTTCTTTTGCCTTTGCTCCATCTTGCAGATCATCTATTTAGATTTTTTTTTAAATCTTACTTTAATTAAGGCATCTAAGAGTTTGAAGGGATATTTAGAGGTGATGTAGTATAAATTGCTGTTATTAGTCAAGGTGGATGAATCACTATTACAGGCCTAAATTTTAGTGGCCTAATACAATAAAGGCTGGTTTCTTGCAGGCTCACAGTGTAATGCAGTTTGGCAGGGGAGTGTCTCTATGTAGTCATTTAGTAGTTCAGGTCACTTCCATTTAGTGGGTCAGTTACCCCCTAGGTTTTCACCTCCTCCACTGGAACCATCTCAAATTTCCAAAAGGGAGAATTCGAATATCTAACTTGGATGAGATGCTTTCTTGGGTCCAAACAACTGAGCCATGAAGAGGGGCTGGTGAAGTACTTTAAACATGGGTACAGGGGTACCTGGGTGGCTCAGTCAGTTAAGCGTGTGACTTTGCTCAGGTTATGATCTTGCGGTTCATGAGTTCAAGCCCCAGCTTAGAGCTTGGAGCCTGCTTCAGATTCCGTGTCTTCCTCTCTGGCCCTCACCTGCTCACACTCTGTCTCTGTCTCTTTCTCTCTCAAAAGTAAACAAATATTTTAAAAAATGTGGCTGCAGTGGTCATTTTTTGAATTGGACCATTTACACAGAAGGGGAAATGAGCCGGGCAGATACCATCCAACCAGGTATTATTCATGCAGCCATTTTTACTTCATATGACAGATCTTCACATATTTGAAGAAAATAGCCAGTCATCTTCTTTCTCATGAGCTTCATTCTTTTCTTTTCAGGGTAAACATTGTCTGTTTTCTGCAGCTTGTGCAATTCAGGTTATTTAAACTAGCTCATCAACTTCCCTCCTCACATTTCAATTGTGAACTTCCTTCAAATTTCCTCCCTCTAAGAAGACGTCCTTAATTAACTCCAGTCCTTAATAATTATTCTTTAGTTCTCTGGGACGCTGGGTGGTTCAGTTGGTTAAGTGTCTGACTTTGATTTTAGCTCAGATTGTGATCTCATGGTCATGGGATCCAGCCCCAGGTGGGGCTCCATGCTGACAGCATGGAGCCTGCTTGGGATTCTCTCTCCCTCTCTCTCTGCTCCTCCCTTGGGTGCATGTGCATGCATGCATGCATGCATGGTCTCTCTAGCTCTTTCTCAAAGTAAACATTTAATAATTATTCCCTCGTGCTCAATTCCTACATGACTTGATCCACCCAATCAAGTGACCCTTAAACTTGCTTGTACTTTTGCATAGTGTTAACCTTTAGCTCTTAAAATTCTATGTCTTGCCTTGCACCCTTCACAAAAAAAATAACTCAAAATGAATAATAGGTCTAAATGTAAAATGCAAGAGCGCCTGGGTGGCTCATTTGGTTAAGCATCCAACATGTGATCTTAGCTCAGGTCTTGATCTCAGGGTCGTGAGTTCAAGCCATGCCTAACTTAGAGCTCACTTAACGACAAAAACAAATAAAACAAAATATAAAATGCAAAATTATAAAACTCCTAGAAGATAACGTAGGAGAATACCAAGCTGACTTTAGGTATAATGATGTTTTTAAAAATACAACACCAAAGGCATAAACCCATGAAGTAAACAATTGAGAAAGTGGGTTGAATTAAAATTAAAAATTTCTCCTCTGTGAAAGACAATATCAAGAGAATTAGAAGACAAGCCACAGCCTGGGAGAAAATATTTGCAAAAGACACATCTGACACAAGACTGTTATCCAAAGTATACAAAGAACTCAATATTCAGCAGTGAAAAAGCAAACAACCCAATTAAAAACATGGGTCAGTGGTTTTAATATACCACTCACCACAGAAGATGTACAGATGGCAAATAAGCATATGGAAAGATGCTCCACATCATATGTCATTAGGGAAATGCAAATTAAGACAACAATGAGATATCACTACACACCTATGACAAGGCCCAAAATCCAGAACACTGATAACTCCAAATACTGGCAAAGATGTGGGGAGCGACAGGAAATATCATACGTTGCTGATGGGAATGCAAAATGGCATAGCCAACACATTTTGGTGAATGTCTTGCAAAACTAAACATACTCTTATCATATAATACAGCAATTGTGCTCCTTGGTACTTACCCAGAGGAGTTGAAGACTACGTCTGCACAAAAACCTGCACATGGATGTTTATAGAAGCTTTGTTTATAATTGCCAAAACTTGGAAGCAACCAAGATGTCCTTAAGTATGTGAGTGGGTAAATAAACTATGGTACATCCACACAAGGGAAATGTTTAGTGCTAAGAAGAAATGAACTATCAAGCCATGAAAAAAACACGAAGAAAACTTAAATGCATATTATTACTAAGTGCAAGAAGCCACTGTGAAAAGGCTACATACTGTATAGTTCCAACTATAAGAAATTCCAAAAAAGGCAAAATATGGAGACAATAAAAAGATGAGTTGTTTCCAGGGGTAAGAGTAGGGAAACATGAATAGGAAGAGCACAGAACATTTTTAGGACAGTGTAAATACTCTGTATGATATAATGATAGGTCATTATACTCGTGTCTCAATCCACAGGATGTAAAACACCAAGAGTGAAGTGTAAAGTAAACTATAGACAATGAGTAATTATGATACACCAATGTAATTTCCCCCTTGGTAAAAAACATACTATTCTAGTGAGTGATATTGGTAATAGGCAAGGTTATGCAGTTGTAGAGACAGGAAGTATATTGGAAATCTCTATACCTACCTCTCAATTTTGTGTTTGTGTGAGAGAGAGAGAGAGAGAGCAGGGAAGGGGCAGAGAGAGAGGGAGAGAGAGAGAGAATACCAACAGGTTCTGCACTGACAGTATGGAGCCCAACATGGGGCTGGAACTCATGAACTGCAAGATCATGACCTGAGTTAAAATCAGGGTCAGACACTTAACCAATTGAACCATGCAGGCACCCTTCACTCTGAGTTATATTGATCAGAAAGGAGATCTGTTTTATTGAAGGGAAGAAATGTATTCACTTTAGTAGTTATTAGAAACAGAATATGTTAGATCAGTAAATTCAGGAGGGACATTGGAAGTAACAGACAAGATAAAGAGGATGAGGTTCTCTAATGTTTACATTCCTGTGACTCCAGTGCAGAGAGCCAAGAACAAAGCTGAAGTTTAGCCAGGAGGAGAAGGTCCAACTGTAATTGAACTCTGCAGGTGCTGTTCCCAGTTTTTGAAATTTCAGGATCCCCTCCTCAATCTCCTAAAACAACAACAGCATGCAAATGAAGTAAATGGTAATTAGG